CATTCCAAACACTCAATTGACGGTTATCAGCTTAATATTTTATTTACTCATGGAATAGGCAGAATATTCCCTTTTAACTCGTGATTTTTGTACTTTGTCTCTTCCACTTATGTTTTTGAAAATGTGTTTACAATATTTCAAAAACTAGTGAGCATTTACAGCATTTAAAATTGGATTGATGCTTAAAAACCTTTCATTTCGTTTAAAAAGGCAAGTGGGAGGGATTCGTAAATTGGCCTCGCCGGTTGACGAAGAAGAATTGTCTTAAATTTGTGACTGTGGGATTATGCAAAGAAGATATCGGCTCACCGTCCTGCTAAGCTTTCGTGGATCATGTTGCGGATATCGTCAGAGCTCGAAACCATTATTTAGAAACAATCTCAAGCGCTAAGCCAATTATGGTTGGGCTGGCTGGAATTCCACTTTGCTCCATTAAGATCGCAAAATCAGGTGAAAGAATAAGTGGAATTTTAGCCGGTCACTCCTCTTGATTGAGTGTTTTTGGTGATTTTGCGTTTATAAGCGGGTTTTCGAGATTACCTGAAGGACTGGTAGTAGAATTTTCCCACAATGATATGAGTAAAGCTGACGTTTTCATTTTTGTTGAGCTTACTTCCATTTCGAGTGAAAGTGTTTGGTGAAGATATTTGAAGGTTGGTTCCACCAGAAGATGACGGAGGATTCATCTTAACCAGCTGTCGATTGGCTTTACTGGAAGATTCATGCTGACGCTATTTCCGAGGCAATCTCCTTCGATTCCGGTAAAGAGGTTCTAAGCTTTCGTCCGTTATATGACGGGCATCATCAGAGCTAGGTAACATCGTCACAACATAATTCGAGCTAACGAGTCAGGAAAACTCACCGGCAAATCCCTAAAAAGTGGTATATACACTCTACATCTGGCCTCTTTAATCAAGTATAAAGTGATCGAAACCCAACTTTTATTCGCATCTATTTCCTTTTGGTTTAGTTACGATTTATCTATAGACTTTCTCGAGCAGATTAGCGTTTCTCGCTGGGAATGTGAATGTATGAATGTTGATGACTGTATTGCAAGCCTCCTTCTCTTCACCCAACACTTTCACTCGAAATGGAAGTAAGCCTAACAATTATGAAATAAGAGGTTCCTCGTAACCCAACTTTTCTTCGTATTTATTACGTTTCCATTTTTATTTCACATTGCCTTGCTTTCCCAAAAGTTGTTCTCATTCAGGTACCAGTGGACTTCAATTTCGACCTAGCATCGGTCTTATCAACACCCCCAGTGGGAGTCGAACCGTGACAATGCAGAATTAGAGCTTGACACGCTAACCATTCGACCACATTGCCACGAGTGTCCCTTAAGTCACAGGGAAGATGTGCATTTCAAGGAAGGCCAGACCTCCCATATCAGGTTCTTTGGTGGAATTGTCGATGAAGCAAATGTATTTTAGCTATAACAATCGACAAATACTTATTTTTTGTTCATAAGTAGGGTTTTGAGACTACCAGTAAATCAGTTAGATGAGATGTATTCACCCTATTTCGTTTGAGGTGATGGAGGACTGGCAATAGAATTTTCCCACGAGTCAAGCTCACATGCTGCACTGTCACGGTTCGAATCCCGCTGGGGGTGTTTATAATACCGATACGAGGTCGAAACTGCAGTCCACTGGTGCCTGGAATAGAACAACCTTTTGGAAAGCAAGGTAATGTGAAATTTAATGGAAACGTCAGCTCAACTCATATTGTGGGGAAATTCTACTACTAGTCCTTCATCACCTTAAATCAAATAGGGTTAATGCATCTCGCAGAATTTTTATGCAAAGAAGAAATCCAGCATTTTCTGGCCTTGTCCTTAACTAATTTTTTTAACCATAGTTAGAAAATGAAGGTTTCCATTTCGAAATAAGTGATTATTTGGAGTATAGCCTACTTATAAACAAAAAATAAGTAATCTAGTCGTTTGCCAAAGCAAAAACAACTTTGCTCCGTCGATGAAATTGAATATATGTCTAACCTCCTTTGAGATTCACATCTACATTTGTGGCAATGTCGCATAGTGGTTAGCATGTCGAGGTTATACGCTGATTTGAGCCCTGTTGTGGATACGGATGAGACGAGTTGAGACGAGACCGAAACTACTGTCCACTGCTGCCTGAATTAGACTCCATTTTAGGAAAGCATGGCGATGTAAAATTCAATGAAAAAGTAGGGCCTAATTGTGGGAAAGTCCCACTACCTCTTCTTTTGTCACCTTATTTGAAATAGGGTGAATACACTTAATATCTTTTGGTGATTGTTCGTTGATGATGGTTTCTAGCTCTGACGATGTCTGCCACATGACGGATGAAAACTCAGCATGTATTCATCGGGGTCGCAGGACGTTGAGCCTATTTCTTCCTTGCATAATACAATTGTCACAAGTCCACGACAAACCTCCATCGGTTTTCGGTGAGGCCAACTTACGAATTTCTTCAGTGCATCTTTTTAAATTAAACGAAACGTATGCAAGAATCACTCTATCAAGGGATTTTTTGAGAGCCAGTTTCTCTTCATTTCTCAGATGTACATATTAAGGCCAATATTTTCGAAATTCATCACATTACACCGAACCAGGGAATTAATTGTCATGCAAGTTAATTGCACCCGATTTATAAGAGTATTTTCCTCGCGTGATATTATTTCCAAGCAGCCTAATTTTCCACTTAGCACTAAGAGGTATCTTGTAAAAGTATCTCATAATTTGAGTAAAGAAAGACTTCTACAGACATTCAAAGGTTACATAATTTGTTCAAAACCAAAGCTTGATTTGGGCCATCTTTGTACGCTACGCTTAATTATAAGGATTTTCTAAAGCTAAACTCGTTGGCAGATACAAGGTAATAAAGATTCACGATACTAAACTTAATAATTTGGAGGAAACATCGGCAGAAGAGAAAATTAGGATAGGCTAGAAAGTGATAAACCCGTCGCAAACACCATTTTACCCTACTATTGAAGAAGTTCTATCTGGAGGTATAATTATGCTTTGTCAAACATTAAGAGTTTACTGAGGAAATTTAGAGACAACTCATTAACTATACTGACCGATTGACAGAGGAAATTAAATATTCGAGTTGTTGCTCTAATTAATAACTTTGTAAAGATACCAAATAAGAATAGACGGGTTGAGGGCACGCTTTGTTCACAAAAAATATGCCATAATGCATTTATAAATATTTTTCTTAAATCAATTACACTTATTGCACTTAGTCGTTGCCTCTGATATGGCTACTGGCTTCTCAGCAATTCTACCTTATGCATGGCTTTTCTCAGTATGCCTTGATACCATTAAGCCCCCTTACTGTACAGCTTTATTGCCAAATAGAATTAGGGCTAATTTTAGGCTCGACAAGACCTGTTTGGCCCATCTACAAGCTGATGATGGCCTTATCTTTTCCGGCATTGCAGGCTTAATTTCCTACCTATTTTAATAATTGTATTATTGATACTCTTACTTTTATTCGAGACGCAAATACACTTCAGTGCGTTTCGTCCACAAACTTACGCCTTCAAACGAGGCATTTCCAGGTCTTTTTGGTCTCTGCAGTACCTTCACTACGCAAGGCTCTCTCATGCAGATTCAGAGCAGCAATCGCACTAACTCTGGCCTTTATTTGTATCCTTCATTTCGTTTGAAATGCGAGTGGAAGGGATTCGTAAATTCGCCCCAACTAAAGTGTACGAAGGATCTTCTTGAAGTTATGACTGTATATATGTGCTAATAAACTGTATGCTCGCCGTTTCGCCACCCTGAAGAATCCATGCACAACGATTGTCCAGTGAGACCAATTTACATTACCCTTCTCGACTTTTCAAACAAAATAAAAGATACAACAATATTAATTTATCAAGGGATTCTTCAGAACCTAGCTTCTTTTAATATTAATCGTTCTATATTGTTCGCATAGTATAATAAGACGATATATTTACACAGGCCTTTATCCAAAATGGCTTGTGTGAAAATTTTTTTAGTCCACATCATATGTGTAGTGAAAATAGTAAAAAGCGTCTACGTTTTATTTAAATTTATGTATTACATTACATTTGATTAGAAGTCAATTGCGCAGAACTGTTTAAGGTGTATCAAGCATCTCTGCAGCGGATAGTCTAGCCATAGTCCCATCAAGAAATAACGTCTTTCGGAGGCCTCACTACTTTTTACCTACCCATATTCTATTAGTCAATTGAGTCTAGCAGGGAGCTTACATATATCGAGACTGTCACAGTTGAAATAAGGAGGCGGAAGAGCAGTCTTATAAATTCATCCTTGCCATTTCTTTTTTCTTTTTTGTATGAAAGTTTTCCTCGAAGCCTAATTTTCCACATATTAAATCAATTTCTTTATAATTATATGAATTTAAAAGTGCGAATCAAAAGGCATGCTATTTATTTTAAGCGTTTGGCATATCTTTGAAGAAGTGTGTTTATTTTCCATTTATCTAATTCCCCCATTGTTACTTAATGTTTCAGGCAGCCCCATAGTCTAGACTTCAGGGTTTTGTAGGGTTTTTATTGATGATTGTGTGCGTAAATTTATCATATACTACCTGTATCACCTTTCTACATAACTATCCTTATTCATGATCACCACTGTTCCTCCATAGTTTTTTTAAATTTTCATATAGAAATAGGTAGATGATTGAAATTAAGCAAATATTCCAAAGGGACTGACAAAACCATTTTTATCCGCTCAATGGCATAATGGCTGAATTTTGAACCATTTACTATTTAGCAAATAAGGTAGTCATTTAAGAAAATTGACTTCATACACAAGTATATGCGTTATCTTGGCCACCAGTGTGTAAATACACAAGTATTTAATCACCTTAATTTTCGACAAACCTATATTTTTTTATTCACCTAGCTTTATATGTAATTATTTATTTATCAATATTGTTTTGTTTTTCGTCATACCCCTTACTATTTATCCTTAAAACTATCATATAAGCTCTTTACTTTTCTTTTTTTTTCTCGCTATGGATGATGCTAGAAATGTATCTATCGGTTCTTTGTATTATTCTTTCACTTTTCTATATGTGAATCACCATCTCCATCATCAAACTTCACATCGCCTACATTTTCTATTCAACTCTCTTAGAGGATTTAACCTCACTGCTTCGTTTCTCCGCTGGTGAACCTGGCCAATCCTGTCATGCAGTATACCACCCTGGTTCCCACTTTGGCGGTCCAGTTCACTGTCTCTCCTGTTGTCACAATCACAGCCCAGTCGACGACATCTGGCGGCGCGCTTGTCAGACTGGCTGTCTTGCTTGTCAACATGCTGTTTGCTGTGGTACCCTAGATGGAACTCGTTTGGGGCCAAAAGCCAATGGATGGAAGCCAAGTTGTGCTTGTGACGGTCTTTGCGGCTCCAAAGGCGGCTACGGAGCAATGGCCGACTGTGAGTACGGTTGTTCCGATGAGATCGGGGCTGGAGCTCGTTGTAGATGTGCCAGTGAACGCGAGCGAAGAGGTGGGCTTGCAGCCAGACTGACCTCTGTCTGGCACTATGGCAACGGTCTTTTGGCCAGTCTCCCGCCTCCAGCCAAGTCCAGCTGTACAGTTAGAGCCCTCACTTACACGGACTTGCATTCACTGGACCGAGAAGACTTGGCCGAGCTGATAATACTTTATCCAGAACTTGCTGAGTGCATGAACACCGGTCTCGAGTTCACCTTTCCATTGGTCGATGCCGGACACGACTTTTGTGAGGTAAGCCTATCAACTATCTCTCCGACTTCATCCCTTCGTTTCATGTATGTCTTTATGAATGGGTGCTCGTTTGCGTGTATGTAAACCTTATGACCGTGTAACCACACTTCATGGTGTCTGTTTAGGTGTGCCAAGACATTTTGACAAATGGTATGAATAAAATGTACATGGTTGCTTTATACAAACTTCATATAGATGATCAGTTGCCGATTAATTTGCCTTTTCAATTCGATTAGGCTCGATTTTTTTTACATTTTCACTAAGATTTATAGTAACCTGGGCACAGTGTCATCGGCAAAACGTTGATGCTGTACTCCCAGTTAGAAAATGTGCCCGACGTGCACCTCCACTCTTCTCAGTTTCGCTTCATGCTTCGTAAATGCACTGAATGCTAAATGTTTAAATCATACAGTAGCTATACAATTAAGTTATGAAGACCAAGATGTTGTGGCCTCTGGTATGGTCGCAGTCTCCTTTCGATTTATAGAAGTGGGTTGACATAGTTGTCGCAACTTGGTCTTGTTGTCAGGGAAACTATGTAGAAGGCACTTAGTCCGAAGTCGTCTGCCATAGTAGTTGTCATGATTTACAGCATCTGACAGTGGATTTGATACATTCTCAAACGTTTCGCCGGCATCGTAATCGGCATCATCAGTGAGCTTTGCCATTCTCCGCACCAAGATGCCAACTCGTCCAAGAGACAAAGAGACTTGTCTCTGTATGTATGTATCAAGTCCACTGTCAAATGTTGGGAATCATGGCAACTACTATGTCAGACGACTTCGGACTAGGTGTGTTCTACATAGTCTCCCTGAAAACAAGACCAAATTGCGACAACGAGGTCAACCTACTTTTATACAATTAAGACCTGTGATGTGTTGTATTTTGGTCGCTTGAAGGAAGTTTTATTGTCTTATTCAAGAGAATATTTGTTATGATTCGTTGGGTAAGCATTCATTAACGTTATTTTGGCCCAGCTATTGCACAATTTCCACAACCATCCGCATTGGTGCTATGAAACCCCTTTAACTTTCTAAGCGATCAGGAGTTCCTATTTAGGATAATAAGTGGTTTGCTCACTCTACTGGACTCATCAGTAGGAAATACAGAATATTACAACAACAGTATTGACAAGGTTTCTCTGGCTTCGAAACCATCTGCAATTTAATCAGATGAGTCTAAGATTAAGATTTTGCGATTCGGCACTTAAAAGACAAGCGATTTGTCGACCCATACATAAGTGGTGTTCTGTAGCGACCACATGTTTAACCAATTTCGGTTTTAGAATCTATAAACCTTCGCAGGAATTTTTGCATTCTGATAGCCTCTTATGTATGGGTCGACAAGTCGCCCCTACAAAAACACTAGCGCATGAGTACAAAACCTTTTAACAACTTGATCTGCAGAAGGCGTCGGAAGATTCTCTCAAAGAATCCATGATCGAGGAAAGCGTTATAGTTACTTTATATATTATCTTAACACTCTATTTCATCAATACTTCGCCTATCTTTCTTGAAAGCTTGTAGGATGGTAGCATTAGGAACCGGGTCGAAGAGTGTCTAATCTCTCGTTTTGGCCAAAATAACGGTTTTCCTACACCCAATTTTTCAATATTTTAAAATTATTAACAATTAATCCTAAGATTTTTCTTAGCCTTTCAAACTCCTGTTTTTGATGATTTACGTCCGCAAGACGTAAACTTCTTATTATCATTGATTTCATTACGCCTTTCTTAACAGCATAAGTATGGTTCGAGAAGTAGTTAAGAAGGTAACCAGCATTTGTGGCTTTCTTATATACATACTCGACCCATACATAAGAGGCTATCATAACACAGAACCTCCTGCAAAGGTTTTTACATTCCGAAATCGGAAGTGGCTGAACATGTGGCAGCTACAGAATACCAGATAGAGTGATCCCAACGTTGTGCCGGATATGGGGACTTCACAGCTAAGCGGAAGATCAAAGCGTCAATTGAAATTAATCGAACAAAGTACATCTTGAATAAGAGGAATGAATGTAGGAAACTAAGTAAGAACTATCTCTGACTTCTGAATAGAATTAGAGAGAGAGAGAGAGAGAGAGAGAGAAGGAAAGGGAAGAGGAAGAGCCACTGAATAAGAGAAGACTTGACTAAGCTGGAGCTTGTTTTTGGACCTAAAATTGTCAACAAATTCGGGGTTATTGAAAATACACACGCAAACACGCATGCACGAAGCTGTAACAAGACACAGGACTACTGGATCATACTCTAGTTTATTTACATTGACAAAAGTTGTGTCCACATCCGCTCTCCTGCGTGCATCACTTTGACACACTTGCGTGCATGTATGATAAGCATACGTCAGCCGACCAAATCATCAAATGCCTCATTAAGATTGCAAAGTGAGGTATATGAAGTAAGTAGGAAAGTATAGGTTCCATTACCAATGGAATGGTCTGATTTCGTTTTTGCAAATTGGTCTCTTTGGCGAGTTGTAGCTCAGTGCTAAGCACACTTATAAGCGTAAAAGTGCCCATTTCTACTTTTGAACATTCGTTGCAATGAATGTCATTTTCTAGAACTCCGGGTAGTTGCACAAAGATATAACATTCTGTTAGCATTAATGGCGGATTCAGAAACTTAAGTTCTCTTTTAACGTTACAGTTAAATCCCAAAATGGGTCCTCATTTTAATTCGAATCTGAACAATGATGATAAAAGATAATGGTTCTTCGGGAATAGCACTCGATCTTGAATAAGATTTCCAGTCGCCCTAAGTGACACAAGATGATGGAGGGTAGATCTATTTATTATCCCACAATAATAAGAGGGGGCTTCAGCTTTCGATTACATTTCACGCGGCCTCATACGAATGGGGGAGGATTAAAATATCGAGGATTAATGGAACTATTTTTCAATCATAACAAGCTGTTGATAGTCTTTCATATGCGCCAGACCTCCTAACAGTTCTCTTGTGGACTCTTAAGCTTGCCCGCCACCTTGCTTCTAGGGCCTGCAATAGTTTTAGTATTATCTATTTATAAGAAGATTCTCGAGACTTCCAATAAATTATATTGGGTGAGATGTGTTCACCCTATCTTGCTTAAAATTATAAGGGGACTGGTAGTTGAATTCCCAACAATCGGATGGGTGGGGTTTGTGCTTCAATTGAATTTCACGTTGCCTTCTTTACCAAAAGTAATTATCATCTTGGCAGAAGTGGACTGCAGTTTTAACCTTGCCTGGGCCTCATCAGCAGCCCCAGCCGGACTCGAACCCGATTAGTGCAGCATATAATCACGACACATTAACCATTACACCACAGTGTCACAATACTCCTTGGGTCATAAGTTAGAGGTGAATTTTAAGGAAGTTCAGATACATCTCCTATCACATTCTGTGGTGGGATTGTCGATGAAACAGTCCTTCATCAATTTACACAAAATAGGGTAAGTAGCTCTCGTAGATGTAATCTACCGATATTCTCAACAGTCTCCTTATAAACAAAAACTGAATTATTTAGTCTATTGCTATAGCAACTATAACTTCACTGCATCGGCAATCCCACCACAATGTGATATGGCTATGGCCTGGCCTCTTTTGAAGTTCACATCTGCCCTGTGACCCAGGAACACTTGTAGCAGTGCCGTGTAGTGGGTGAGATGTCGATATTATATGCTCCATTAACACAACTCGAGTTCGAGTCCGACTGGGGGGGGCTGGTGAGGCACAGGCAAGATTGAAATTGCGGCCCACACTGGATGAAAATTCATTGTGCCAAGCAAGGCTATGTGAAATTTAATGGAAACATAAAATCTACTCAGACTATTGTTGAAACCGTGATACACCGCTTTCAAAAACATAGTTTACGATGGGACGTCGCCAAACTTAGTGCACATCCAAGCACTGATTAGCCTCGCGACCACACCAGAT